ACCACGTAACAAGCTGCCTGGTGGACGGCTCGAGGTGGGGATGCCTCCGAGGAGGAGCCTGGCCCCTTTCCCCGGAGGATGTCAGGGCGCTCGCCTCCCGGACCCGGTTGTCGGCCGGGGCCGGGGCCGCTCTCCGCGGTGCTGAAGGACCGTCCCGTCCTGCGGCTGCAGAGCCGGGGCCCACGGGATGAGCGGAGAGGTTCCCTGTCTGCTTTCCGGGGATCCGTAACATTACAACATAAAAGAGCCCATGGTCTGGAGAGACCCGCTGACTGCGAACAGGCAAAATCAAATTAGAATTCAGGGGATCGTTGGGATGAACTGTCCCTGAGCTGGAGTTCTCACCCATCTCTACTTTTTTGTGAAGAGTAATTCCAGGACTTTCGCATCAGCTCCACAAGCCACTGCTTCTTCAATCAGTGCAACTCTCTTGAGTTACAATGAAGTCTGAAAGTACCAGCTGTTGGCAGGATCTGCCCAAACTTCTAATTATCAACCCCTATTTTCTGTTTCTTATGAATGTTTTGTCAAACATTAACCACATGGTCTCATATCTTGCAGGCTAGGTGTTTGCTTAGCTGAAGTTTTACATTTATTAATTAATTTATATCTTTTGGGAAAATATAATTTAAACAATGTCATATTATATGTTTCTCTGAGTAGAACTAGCATGCCATGCTCTGGATCACAGTGCTGGAATTTGATGAGGACTGAGCTTTATTCAGGATATCTTTAGCCTATACCTCTGCTTCCAAGGAGAGATCACAGCTATCTAAGCAATTCTGACAGATGTTTGTCTAATCCATCCTTAGAAACCTCCAGTGAAGTAATCTTCCTCTCTCCGGGCAAATCTATTGCAGTACTTACTCCTCTAACATTCTTGCCAGTGTCCAGAGTAAATCTCTTTTTGTTGCAATTTAAGTCCATAACTTCTCTTTGTATCTGTCAGTGACATGGAAAAAATTTACTCCTTCTTTTTTTCACCTATTAGTAAACTGCTGCCATGTCTCTCCTCAATCTTTTTTTTTTTCCCACTACACAGTTCCTGTTCTTTTGGTCTTCCATCTCATCTTCACAGATGTCTAATCATTTGTTCCCCACTCTGAGGACTTGGAGTCCTGAGTAAATTTACACATTGCTTAGATTGCCCCATATGGAATAAGGCCACAAAAGGAGGCCTTTCTGAGATAGATTAGAGTGGGAAGAGTAATTCACATGTCTGCCAAAGGACACTGCTGTTCACAATACTGGTGTGGTGGCTGCTTTTTTTTTTTCCCCCTGAAAAACTTGACATAGTTGACTCATGGATGTGATTCATCATCACTCCAAGATATTTTACTGCAAATCTGATGCTTTCTAAATTGTGTTTGCACAGCCAATTATTCTTGACAGTGTGGTGCCTGGTCTTCTCTCTTTTGATTTGATATGAGGTGGGGCAGTATGTAGTTTTCTTACGTGTTGGGAAAGCAAGCTAAGAATGTCTTCTTTCTCCTTTCCACCCACAGAAAAAAAATAGTTTTTTTCTCATTGTGGTTAGCATTAGTGTGGTGAAAATCTGATAACTTCTGTCAGACATCTCTGTTTGTATTTCTTATAGACAAGTCTTCGCTTACAAACATTTTAAATAGCATTCTCATCTTCTACACTGCTCAACCTGGATGTGCTCAGGAGTAGAGCAGAGTGAAAGAGATTCATCTGTATGGCCAGTGCCTCCTTACTTACTGAACCTGCAGTGAGTCAAGGTCTGGTGAAGAAATGCTCATTGCATGGTTATTGAAATGGCAGTTCCAAAGAGATGTTGGATGAGTTACTTTTCCCCAGTAGTAATTCACTGATTTTTAGGGTTGTGCTTTCCCCTGCTTTTTCTCAAGGTGTGGCTATGAGTCATAGATGTCATTGCTGAATATAATGGGAACTGTGGTGCTTGCACAGAGTGAGTTAAATGCACTGAAACATAAAGGGTTTCCAAAATGAATCAGATGCCTCTGGATCTTAATTCCTGTGTGCCTCAGTTTCTTGTCTCTAGAATGGAAATAACAAATCCCATTTCTGGAAGATAAAGCAGGTTCAACTAAGAAAGGCACTACCACTCCTGTGATGAACACCAGAAAAGAAGCCACAGGAGAAAGAAATGTATGACTTAGTCTTCAGTAAAAGGTTTGTGCAGTGCATAGCACCTAAGTGAATAAAGAGAAAATAAAATAAGGGCAGAGTCACTTATTAAGGAAACACCCTAGATGAAGGAGCGATTTCCTTGGAAATACAGTTGAGATTGTGTAATTGAAGCTGATTACATAATGTAATATGTATTTAGGGGCTCTAACACTACAAGGCAGTTTTAATTCTGGCATTGCATCCTTTTGATTCCTTGGCTTTGCACTTCAGGCAGGATCTGTTAATATTTTAGGCAGTGATGTGTGTGTGTGTGTGTGCATAGTGGAGGAGACACTGCATTTAGTTGCCAGAAAAACTAATTTGGACTCCACTGGAGCTGTGAAATGCTCCTTACCCTCTTGTGTTATGGGAATATCTGGGGAATGGGGGGAAAAAGTCTCAAGAAGCCCTGTGTGGTTTATTATTTTTCAAATTTTGACAGAAGAAAAGGTGAATTGAAATGTAGCCTTTCAATAACAAAAAAAAAAAAAAAAAAAGTGTTTTAATGCTCTTGTCATTCCCCTCCCTTCCCCTTCTTCCAGTTCTGAAGCAAATTTAGAGCTGGCTGGATACAATTACAAGGTGCAAATGACCCACTGCCAGCAAAAAAATTCCAATTTTCCCTTCTACTCAGAAATCAGCCTCACTGTGGAGTCCTGCTGGTAGCTGTGAGGATGCATCACAAGCTTGGTGGAGACTGTTTCTCACCCATGGTAGGAAATGTCTTTTTTTAAATACGAGCTAAGGGAATATATTTTTATCATGAGCCCTTTGTTAGCTAAGGGCTAATGAGTTTGAGCTGGTGGGATCCTCTGTAAAATGTTGATGAATGCTGAAGATAAGCAGTCTGGTAGGGCTATCTTAGCACTGGGAGAGAGAGTGAGAGCAGAGCAAAGTAAAGGGAAGAGGCAAGGAGAAAGAGGTTGGGGACAAACTGAGAAAAGATGAGGAAAGGGAGCAGATAAACAGCTGACATGTGATTCAGGTCCCTAATTACAGTATTGGCTAATCTAAATGCTCACCATAGGCACAAAAAGCTGTGATCAAGGTCCTCCCTGTTTTCAGCAGGAAAAGAAAACATAGGACAAGATCAAGTCTGGACTTTAAGAGCCCCAGAACAGGAGAGGGGTGGCACGTATTAATTGTGGTGATCTACATGACTCCCTGATGAACAGAGATCAAAAAACTTCAAAGAAAAGCAGAAATTACCTCACTACCTTCATGGAAATATTCCTACTCTCCCAACTCTGCTCATCATCAAGTCTGGACATGTATCACACCGCACAGTTGGTTGTGCAGGAGGAAGCTATCTCATTCCTGAGAGGTCACGTCTCCCCACATTTGTATGTTCCAAGAGCTTGCTCTCTTCCCTGCACTGCCCTGAAACAGGTAATCTTAACCACAAAGTAGCCAAGGCAGTTCCCCTAATGCATGAGCATGGAGAGATTTTTCTTTGAAAAGTCCCTGAACGTTTCACCTCTACTCAGAGAATTCCTGGTGATTCTATATTCCATATCAAAGCTGTGATCAGCCTTAAGTGTCTTTCAAAAGCCATGGAAACTTTTTTCTTGATTCTATCAGATGTTTGGTCTGCTGTGCTGAAGAGTCACTACACAGCCTGAAGTTGGATCCTGTGTTTGAATAAGAAAGTCTTTATTCCAGGAGAAGTAATATTTATGTGTTCTTCCAGGAAAACCAATACCTCCATCTGGTAATGGGAACTGGTGGTGAAGATGGTCATGTTTTGGCACCTACAATGAAGAGGTGAGGCTGGGCTGTGTATTTTGTGTCTCAGAAAGGGCAGATTTTTTCAGCTGGTGACCACAGACATGTCCTGGGAACAAGATTCCTGAGACAATCTGGAGAGAAAGCAAGATTTTAAACATCTCTGTTACAGAGATGACTTTCTGTGTCCACAAATATGGCCCCTTCCAGCTTTCCATTTTGATCCTAGAGCTGCTAAGTGGCACGTGTCCACCAGAGGGCATGTGGGCCATTTTCTCCTTCTGAGCACAAAAAAAGGTAGAGAACGGTTTCCAAAGCAAGTGCCCTTCCAAAATGGGATCCTGTACTGGCTGCCTTGGCTGTTGTCATTGCAGCTGGGCTGTTGAGGAATGGTACTCAGACAAGTGAGCTGGCAGCAGTAGGGCTGATGTGACTGACTCTGAGCCACTACTGCAGTATACAGAGCTGTTTTGGTGTGACGTGGGGTTCTGCCTGTATGAAGGGTTAAATGTAAGTCTTTATGGTGCCATGACTTTATGATTCCCTAGACTTGCATTTCAGACCCCTGTATATGCACACGTGCATATACATCCACGAGAGAGAGAGATACACACATATGCACATGCACACACCCACACTTGCTCACAGAAGTATCTATATCCACACAGGCCCACTCTATAGCTTGCAAAGTAAATTAGTCTTAAATGACTCTTTGGAAACAAAATAAATCAAATAGCATAATAGTACCATCTTTTTATCTCATTTGTTCCCATACAATTAGTAGTTTTACTGCCATGTTGTGACAGGTGACTGTGTTTGACCTTTGCCGCTTGGGTGGTTGGCTGGTGCTCAAACTAATGAAGACCCTTAATGGATTGGCTTTTGTGAGGCTGTGAGCGGTGGGGTTAAAGAGAAAATGGTGCCTTAGACAGAGTCCAGAGAAGATCCTTCAATTAAACCTGAAGTCTATTAGCAAAGAAATATTGAGGAGGTTGAGAGTTAGCAATGATTTAACCAGCAAGTCTTCCTTGTGAGTCGTTTAAAAAAAAGAAAAAAAATCTCTCTGGTTATTTATTGTTGAGTGTGTGGTTGGACTCTCATCCTCTTGGGTGAGAGGGTGGGAGCAGAGCCATTGACTTGGAGAGGCTGGGGCTATTGGGCCTGACACCCAAGTTTGTTAGCCCCTTGCCTCCCACACAGCCGAGCTTACTTTGGACAAAAGAGTGAGGAAAAATAAAGCAATGGCAGGAACAAATGAAGAGTGATGCTGGGGAAGATAAAGCCAGATCTCTGAGGTAAATAAGACTTTTTGGAACTTAATTGTTTTTCATGATGTAAATAAATTACCGTGAAAGAAAGGGAGAACCGGCAGCTTCTGGGCAATGAGTCAGAGAGCAGAGCTGAGCTGTAGAGCGTGAGTAATAAACAGGAGTGGAGGGAGGCAGATGAGGAGGCTGGTGCAGGACAGGGAGGGTCTGTCCAGAGCAGCACAAATGGACACAACAAGGAATGTTAGGTGTGAGGGGTAAGGGATAGCTGACTTGTGAGAGCACTAGGAGGGCCAGGCCTGATTACAGCAAAGGGCCAGGGGTCCATTCTCCTGCTGTGTTAGACACTTCAACAAAGATCCTGCATGGCAGATACAACAAGCCTGCTGCTCCACAGAATCTCCTCCTGCCCCCAGTGGCTAATTAGATCGTTTCTGTCCCTTTCAGTGTCAAAGGGACACTGAGCATTTTCCATTCCTTCCAGGAAGGCTTCATTCCTTCTGTTTTTAAGACTTGGTTAACTTACAGCCTGAGCATCATCTTGCAGCAGTGTTCATGGTCTTAAGCAGAGCTGAGGCTGCCTCTGGCCTACACTGGTCCTTTGGGTGATACACTGTCCCACAGTTGAGAGGTGGGAGATGAGAAGGATCTGATACGGGACAGATTGAAGCTGATTGTTCTGAATGGAGAGACCTGTCTTCTTCCCACTCATCAGCCAACATCTAGATGCTGTTGGGGTGTCCTAGAGATTGTTGGCATAGCTGAGACTTTCATTGCCACCCACTTCCCCTGCCTCCACACACTATGTAGTAAACCTCCAAGAATTCAGTGTGAGCCAGGCAAAGGCTGAGATGGAACAGGAGGGAACAGTGTCCTAGGTCCTGACAGATGGGACAGATGGGACAACCCATAGTGTCCTGGGTCCTCACATGCCTCCATCAGACTGCCCCATGCTGTGGGCTGGTTTGGCATATTGGTGCCTACATCCTTCTTTTGAGCCAAGATACCTCAATGATCAGGAAACTGGACTCTCTTTAAACCCTCTGGTTTCTCCCGAGAGACATGACGGCAACAAAATGGGAGGGAACTAGGCCCAAACTACTTACACAGATGCAACTGGATTTGCCAGGTCTGCAGCCTATTCTGGCTACTGGGAAAGGAGTTGTTTCGCTCCACTTCAGCTGAATCATCATGAAGCTTTGAAACACCTCAAGCATAATGCCCTGCTATTCCTCTTCCTGGGACATTTCACCTCAACACCATAAGACAGGACTCCAAAACTGAACACCCTGCTCCAAAAGTCCTCAAGCATCATGGTAGGCCCTCAGAGCTATACTCAAGAATTGCCTGAGTCTTCATATCTTCATTTCTTCTTCATCTATCTATCTATCTATCTATCTATCTATCTATCTATCTATCTATCTATCT